TGACGTCTCCTTTGCCCTGCTGCATCACAAGGTGCTTCTCCGATTATTTCAGCGTTCACGATTAGATTCAGAGTGACAATCTTTTCATAAGTGAAAACTATGTTTTGGGCGCCCGTCGTCGTGAACCTTGGAAGCGATTTCCTCTAGCTTCCTGATTTCCTCTTCATCAGAAATCTAATGCTATACAGACGAAAGGGTGTCTCCTAAGATTTCTCTGACGATTTTCCTGACTAACTTCGACTTATCGAAATATTTCGCGGTCTGATCCACTGATCCTTCAGCACTCCACAACACTGTTCCTTGGTTTCCTTTCCTTTCAGATTTCTCCGAATACAGCTGCTTTTAACGTCCCGTTTCTGTTCTCTTCAGCAGGGTCAAGCATCTCGCACAAGATTGCCCGCTTGGACGATTAAAGTTACCGGGCTATCGAGTCCGTTTGGCTTTAGCGTTCATACTTTACGGCAGTGTGCCCTAGCGTGCACCGGCGTACAGCGCGTTTTCATTGTTTGGCAGCGTCAGCGACTAGGAAAGTGTAGATATCGACCCGGCGTCTACCAGCCTACTGCGACGTTCACCACCGTCTCGAGGGCTAGGAAAGTATAGGTATCGATCGAGCTCTGCCAGCGTCCACCAGCATTAACCAACCTTCACCAGCGGCCAGGAGTAGAGAGTATGGGGAAAAGGAGAGTGGCAAACATGTCGTGGAATGGCGGCGTGCGCAACCAACCGCACAACTGCTGGAGCGCAGAATTGTCCAATTTTTGTGCGGTGTAATACAGGGGGGGGGCAAAAAAAAGTCACTTCGACCGAGTCACATATCAGCAAAGTTTTCGCAGCCCAGAGAGAAGATGTGGATACGAGTACCAGGGCGGAAGATACCCAAGATGTTCCTCGATAAGCAGGAGCTGGCCCTCGCCCATCACCTTCATGTACATATGAGGTCATCTCCAGTCGCAGCCTGACTGGAGAAGACCTTTGGAATTCATGTCACCTCCAAACAGCTGCGAAACTTCTAGTATGGAGTCACCCATGGATAGCTACCTGGAGACCAGTACTCTCGATCTGGAAGACCTCCAACATCGAGCAGCTCCGACAACGTCGCTAGGACATCATCTTCACCGCAGTCGCCAAGGCGCGGGTTGATGGTATGGACCGGACGTACCTGGAATGGAAAGACCAATATTTTCTTCGTGGACCCTGAAGGTGAGCGCTGGCGGTTACATCGAGCAACTCGAGAAGAATATCCTCCCCACATGTCGTCGCCCGTACCTTCTTGGAAACTTTGTACTGCTACAGCATTGGGTGCCACCACGTGGAATCGAAGGGCGTTGGAGAAACTCTCGCCTACTTGGAATGGAAGGGGGCTGAGTACCTAAAGAAGATGGAATATCCAAGTAGGTCACCTGACCTGAATCCCCTCAATTACCCGGTTCGGGCGGAGTTCAATAGGGTGGTCTACGGTGGCGGAGAAATCGACTATCTCGCTGATCTCAGGCACCACATCGCGGTCGCGTGCCAGAATCTCTCGATGGCGCTCGTCCAGAAGGCTGTGGCGGAGTGTCATGATAGTATTTAATATGCTCTTCAATGGTGGTAGAATAGAATTTATAAAGTGTGACTTATAGCGCCACGAAAGTCAATGAAGAAAAGTGACTTTTTTTGCCCCATCCCTGTATAGTTGTACGGTTCGGTTGCATACGCCGCAATGTCACGACGCCTAATCAAGCTGTTTGCGACTCCTACTCCCCGACCTAAGGTAAACGGCGGAATCGCACTTGAGCATCCGGCGCGCGGTCCCGGCACGATTACCCTGAAGACGAAGCGCGCGCTCATACGATCGCATAACCACGAAGTATGAAAGCGCTCGTATTCTGCACAATCGAATGAAAGCGCTCGTATTTTGCACAATCGAAAATCAGGCGCGCACCTGACGAATTTCAGAGGAAGCAATTATTAGGTTGGCGGGAAAGTTCTGTCACATTTTTTCAAACTAGGCTTTCTTTTTATAGAGAGGAGTGTAAGATCAAAATTGTACAGCAATGTTACTGTTGCCACTGTTTGAGCACCTCATGGATGCCATCGCTTCACTATGCAGGGAGACACGACGCAAAGTTGGACACCATCTCAACTTCGACTTGAACTTGGGTTATGGAGGTTTTCTCGTCCGCATAACGATCGATTACGGAAGGCAACTTGCTATTAGAAGGGGCGATGTCTGTGCTACACAAGTGCAAGGGGAGAGAGATCAAGCTCCATTGCATGAGGTACGGCTCGAACTTTTTTGGACCAAGTGCGTTGCACTCTCTTGGTGAGGGCCGGCTGTGCGGACAAATTTTTCCCTCTGATCCACGATACGCCTTAGATCTCGTAGCTGCTTTGCGTACGCCTTGACCAAGGAAGCAGCTTCTTCATCCAGCAGTTTCCCGACCCATAGCTCCCTCAAGCTGAGTTTGCAGGTAACCCAAACCTCACTTCGTCATCAAAACTGTAGGCTCCCTAGGCTCCCGCCTTGAAGCGTCACTGTCGTGGTAAGGTTGCTCGATGGTTGGGGGCATCGTGCTTATTCAGCTCCATCAATTTGGCATCTGCAGCTAACACGCTGGCGTCAGGGTGGTAGGTGAAATAGTTTGTGGAAGTTGTTGGATGGGTCGGGGCTGATGGTAGCGGATAAAATCCTTGTGCATATTGCAGAAGAAGGAGCAAGAGGCAAGCGAGTGGTACTAACAGAGAGACCACTCCTTGTTGTACAAGAGCTTACATTACCGATTACCCCTCTTGCTAATGAGCAAGTAATTTGAGTTATAAGTGACAAAACTTTCCCGAATAGATGCTTCAATTCGAAATGCCTTGAATGACTTGCCAATATTTGCTATTATAATGTACACTTAATTAGGAAAAATCACCCATTCAAGAGCGAAGTGAACCCTTTTGATCTCCAGTGTGTGTAATCACTTTTCAGATGTCAATCACTGTAAGGAATGTAGAAAGTCTCGCCATACTCAACCAACTTGATGGGGTCAAATCCAAAAGCTGGCCAAAATGCTTCACCAGAACGGCTCCACTGAGTCAACCGGGAATTATCTGAACCAACCCGTTGAAAGTTGAAGGCATAAATCAAAGAGTACACCTCCTTTCCCCAGCTAGAGTACTTTGTCAGAAGCGTTGCTTATAAATGTGCCCCATGCTTCGCATTGCTGAAGGCGCACTGTATATATCACCGACAAAATGTTACACTCTAACGTATGTAACTGCAGGACCCGCAAAATGAACGTGCCAAATTGCTTGAATTGCTGCGACAATGATGAAGTGTACAGAGGCTGTTTCCAACTGCTTTCTGCAGATCTTGAAGAAGCCGTTTCGAGCGCAGATTGCTTTAAGTTAAAGGCAGTTGGCGCGATGGTTTCCTACTTAGCCTAAAATGCTAGTAGGGCGCTGTATAGTGGGGAAATGGCGAAAGAACGGAGTGAAACGGTCAAAATCCTGCGAAGAAAAAGCCTCCGTTCTCAGTGACTTGTAAATCGATTTCGGACGAGTTTCCCGTAGCATCTTACCAATCACCGCTACCGAAGGTACGGCTGCATATGTGTACCCATGTATGCATGCAGCATCACGCCGCTTCATACCAATCCCTTTGCTTCATAATTTGCTCAGCAAATGAATGAATACGAGCGTCAGAAACGGTCGTCCGTTTGTGGGCGGGCGGGCAAGGAAGGCGTTTGGGACGTAAAGTTGTTGCTCAATAGGGCGTTATAGAGGTACCCTCCTTGGAAAAGGCTTCACGCAGCGCCTGTCCGAGGTCACGGAATTCTGTTAAGCCAGTTGTACAAATCCTACACCTGTATAACGATTTATCGTGCCAACTGCCTTTAAGGAAGCAGGTAGACTTCAAAGATGTCCCCACTTTGATGGGCGAGGTGCCTAAACATGATGAGAAGGCGTTTGTTCCTCCTTACAGGACTTTACCTATAATTCAACGGAAATTTTGTGGGAAACGCCACATCATCAACATTATTATACAAGATTCGATGCTTTTGTGAGTATAGTGTGGTGATATTCCCATGTTGAGTTCATAGTAGTCAACTTAAGATGTTACTCGCTGGTGACGATAGTGACCATGATGCCCTAGTGCCGAAACCGCGCCGCGACCGCCGCTCACAAAGGCCGGATGCTGGAGTGCGATTTCGCCGTTTACCGTCGCCCCTACTCCCCCACTCTCTCTACTCCTGGCGGCTGGTGGACGCTGGCAGACGCTAGAATACCTATACTTCCCAATCTCTCGAGGCGCTGGTGAACGCTGCTGCGCGCCTAACGCTGTTTGGACGCGCTCACTCTTGGCTGTTGGCTCATCTATAAAGTGCCTAGATCACCACATCCGCAGAAAACTTGTATACAGGGGTTATTCAACACCTTGATTACGATTATGACATTCATTCTTTCGCTAATAGAGGACACTACTATTATCTGCGCTCTGTTAAGGCTGCGCCCAGAAGATAATCGTAGTGTCCTCCAATAGCGTCAGCGCCAAAAATCAAGATCATATTCGTATCAGGATGCTCAATGACCCCCAATGCGTACAAGTTTTCTGCGCTTTCGGCGATCTAGACATTTCGTAAGTGAGCCAGCAGCCAAAATTGAGCACGTGAAAATGGCATCAGCCCTGCACGCTGGTGAATGCTGGTCAGGGTACAGCACGGTGATGCGTGAAATGGTGGTATCAGTACTACCCCCTCCCCACCTAGGGTAGGGTCTCGGTAAGACCACCCTCCCCTTTTCCCCAACACCTACCTACCACTTTGCTACAAGCTTCCAACTTCCTACCACTTTTTCCGGAATTACCCAAAAAATTTTCTATCTACCCCAGAAAATTTTGCTGTCGAGCGGAGGGGGGAGGGATGCTGTTGAGGAGTTCAACGATTTGTACAACTCCAGCTTGTACTTGTGTTGCTGTGTCGTAATTGATTTGCGTGTTTCCGCATGAGCCTTCCTTTGGACGGATCGGATCAGCCCTCATAGTTAACCTTCCCAAGTCGTTTTGCGACAACTCCTTGCTTCCATGTGAAGTGTGGGGCTTTCCACATCTGCGCGTACACGTCGTCTCCCTTTTGGAATTCCTTCGAAAATGAACCGTTCCTCCTATCGTATTGTTGCTTCATCTTCCTTCCATTTTCTTCGGCGTACAACCTTGTCGATGATTCAGTTCTGTCCTCAAGACATCTGTGTGGGGTGGTTCGGTGTGCTTGCCGTATAACATTGAACTTGTCCTCTGACGGTTTCTCTTCCCCTTTGAGTTTTCTAAATCCTCTCTTCAACGTATTGACTTCTTCCTTGGTGCAGCGTCCTACACCTTCTTCGAAAACATCCGGGAATGTTTTCTTCAACTCTTCTTCACGTCTGGGGTTACAGTTGGCCTTCACTTCAGCAGCCATCATTTCTATGTGGTACATCAAATTCTCATTTGCTCGAATCCATTCGAGACCCAAGAGTGAGTTGTGCGGCGTCACATAGGCGTCTCCTTCAGTAGTGACACCTTTCATGGTAATCTTGCATTTAAGCTTTCCATATATCTTCATTGTATCTCCACTTGCATTTTTCACGACTATATTGGTCTTTTCCAATGCTGGGGAGCCCATCTTCTTCCAAATCTTCTCGTTCAGTAACGTGATGTCTGATCCAGTATCGAGAAGAAATTTGACTGAGTAGTTGTTCACTACAGCGTCGATGTACACACGGGAAGAGTTTGCCTGAACTGCTGCATTTGCAATCTTGACGACTTCGTACTTTTTTTCTCGGGCCTCTGTTATTTTTTCCTGAGAACTTCTCTTTAGTATGCTGAGTTTTCTGCGTCGCCTCTGTGCGACCCGCAGTCTTCTTTTTTCGTAACTGTCACAAAACTTTTCCTTGTGACCGACCTTCCTGCACTTCTTGCAGAACCAAGGTTTTGCTTGGCATCCACTAGCACGATGGTTGCCTTCGCAGTTCCAACATTCTATTTCCTTCCGCTTCTGTACGGACGTGGCTTCCACTAGTTTCATAGTTCCGGCGACAACTTCACTGTCTCTCTTGAGGCTTAAGAAGTTTTCGCACTCCTGATGCAATTGTTGCAGTGAGACCGTTTTGCCTGCTTTGTAGTCTCTATCCAGTATTGTGATCAGCCTCTGCCTGATCTCTGCCTCCTGCTGTGACTTCAATCCGAAAATCCACAGCAAGCATTTGATGCCGTCTCAGTCTAGCTCGTGAATCTTTGCTCTCGCAAAATTCATTCACTCGACCGGTATACGTAAGGAAGTCTTCTGAATGGCTCTTCTCTAGCTTGAGACATTGATATCTCGTGGTAAACAATGACGACTTGAAATCAAACAACTGCTTGAGTATGTCCACCGTCTCGGTGAACCCAATTTCTGTCACATCTCTTGGCAGCACGTGCCTTTGGTACTTCTCGAAAGATAGAGGATCCAATTTTTCGCAGAGCAGTCTGACCTTGGTGCTTTCAGAGCTGCTTTGCATCTTCGAAAAACACATCCTTGTATCTTGAAAACCATTTTGAGAAGTTCATATCGGCATCCGGGTCGAAAACGAACTTTTCAATGCGGTTGCTCAACGCTGCCATCAAGTTCGGGAGTGCCATGTGCTCCGTCGCATTGCAATCTCCCTGTCCGCGTTCTGGAATGCGATCTAGCAGTTTTGCGATGACATTCTTCTGTTCGTTCATAACATTCCTCTGTTCTCCATCATTTCTCTAAACATAGTCAAGATGGTGGTCACATCCATGTTTCAAGTGTCGATGTGGTTGTCCGGTGAGCTGGCTGTACTTCTGTCGATAACTTGTGCTTGGCTGGCACGCTACTGGTTATCCGCTGACCACCCTTCGTTCCCAACTGTGCAAGGAAAGTTGAATTCTATCACAGCAATGCTCGTTTCTCGTCCGTTTCTTGCCGAAATTCTTCCTCGTCCGGTTCTTGCCGAAATTCGAGTTAGATGTGATATGTCGGATAGATAAGCGAGCAGAAATATACGCTTCGAATCCTGCGGAGTCGAATAAAAAGGAATACCGCACGAAGAGACCTTGGTTCTTCGCAGCACTGTAGAAGCACTGGTTTTTCTGCTGTGGCCAGAGATCCTTGTCTTGCTTCAGATCTGGTCCTGGTCGTGGACTTCTTCTGTCCTAGCTCTTCTTCTTCTTCTGAGAATTCCTGGTTTCTTCGCTTGAGTGCCTGGATATCCTGATCGCCACTGTTGGATCCCTGACTTCTGTGTTGTCTCTGGGAGTGTCGAAATAGACGATACGCACAGTAGGTTTATCTGGCGAGTAAAATACACACAAAACTCAGCTCTAACTGACGACCCTACCGCTCACCTCTCTTAAATACGATCCTAAGAGATATGCGCAGTTTATCAGAGTTCATTCCTCTGATACAACAGTTTCTCATGAACTTCCAGCCTACTTGGTAATGTCACCTCATCTGCAAACGATGTTCTTGCAAAGCGGGAGGGGGGGGGCGGCGGAATTTGTGAAATGGTCGCTAGAAAGATCTAACCGATGCACCCTAAAGCAGCTGATGGGACCAAAAATAACGTGGAAATTCTTTGCGAATGACATTTTAGTAGGCAACACCTCGTCCAGACATAAAACACATCACAGAACCACAGGAATTGGCCCATACACCTACACGAAAGCCTCCAGCACACTTCTTCCACTTGCGGTGAAGTCGGAATTGAGGCGTACCTTACATCGCTCCATAAACCTCCCAATGGAACGCTCTATGTACTTGACAATGTACTCATACAGAATCGTAGTGACATTTATAGGTATATGGATCTAAACAACCTTTAGAGTCAACTACAACATGTTCTTATTTTAGTTAGACCAACGATACTCATACGTGTGGTGAACTTTTCTTTATACGAAATCGCTTTATACGAAATCGCCATGGATTCCCTTGCGACGCCACTATTTCAGCCTGTGACATGGAAAAGCCAGAAAGCGATGCGAGACTCTCCTCAAAGGATCCACAGCTATGTTTGGCTTTGTCATGTGACCATACAACGTCTCCAGGGTGCACAGACTTCTAATGTCGTGCGCTCCGCGGCGCACGCTTGACCGTGCTCTTCGGATTCCATTTCTGTGGAGCGTTTAACTATTCTGATTCTGAACCACCCATAGAGTATAGTGAGGGTCTCAATGTTTGACGTGTTTTTGTACCTCTCTTGTGGAGTCTGGTAATGGCAGTTCGTTCAGAAGGCCGGGAGAAGGACCCACATCGTGCAGAGTCCCGCCGGTCTTCTCCTTCTTATTCTTCAGCGTCTGTCCCGCTCTGCGGGGTCCGCTCTCGTGATTTTGTTACGCCATTTATCCCGGTCGTATGCCCGATCGCCTGAGTAAGCACCAATTAACCTTAGATCAGCGCGCAGCGTGCGAAGCCAACGTTGCCTGGGGCGTACTTTAGGTCGTTTGCAGAGCACCTCGAGCCGGAGGCCAGTCTAACAAGCGTTGTCCGCCTTTGCGCGAGGTAGGTGGCAATACCATTGGAGACGAGAATCGAGTTTCTATCAACTATGGAACTACGCCGAATTTCTTGCGTATGTCGTCGTTGCAAATCCGACCATACGCGTGACACCGGCCGTCCAACGTAGCATTTTCATCTCCATCACACTAAGACGGGCTTCGACTTCTTTGGTTGCAGGCCAGCACTCTGTCCCGCACAACGCTACTGGTCCGGCCACAGTTCTGAAAATCTTTGATCTGAGGCGCTCTCGTATTGTCTTGTTATAGAGAACTCCATTCGTCTAGCGCCGTTTCGCTCACGCTGCGCTCACACGAGAGTTCACCTCTGAGGTCAGACTATCAAATAGAACTTTTGATCCAAGATACAATACCGCCCCTTCTTCTTCTCCCTAGCGTTAGTCCCGCGCCGTCGCAGGGTCCGCTGTTCTTATTAGACGTCGCCACTTGTTCCGATCCACTGCATCTTCTGCTGTGGCTTTCACTTCAGTGTCCCTCTTGATGACGTCCCTCCATCTTTTCTTTGGGGCTCCTCGTGGTCGCTTGCCCTCTACCTCGAGTTCCAATGCCTTCCTTATTGGGTGGTCTTCAGGCCTCCTCAGTACATGACCGTACCATCGCAGTCGCTGCTCTCGTGCCTTCAGCTGGATAGGAGCCGTCTGTGTGACCGCCCTGACGTCCTCGTTTCTGACTCTGTCGAGTCGTGTCCAGCCGCAGGCCCATCTCAGCATCCTCATTTCAGCTGAGTGGAGCTGCCTTTCATGGTTCTTGCAGATAGGCCAGCACTCACTGCCGTAGAGCATTGTAGTCTTTACCACAGCCCGGCTCTCGCCATGGCGGTCTACGATGGGTTCGGCGCACTCTTCGGAGCTTAGGAACTTGGTCTTCTTTACGTTCAGCCGGAGTCCATTCTCAGCGAGCACATCCTGCCACCGCTGCACCTTGTCCTGGAGTTCCTCCCTGCTGTCCGCTATCAGGGCGATGTCGTCAGCGTAGAGGATGGTTTTCAGTGGTCCCTCCATGAGTTCTTTTGCCATGACATCTAGAGTCAGGAGGAAGAGGAAGCTGATCCTTGGTGTACCCCAACCGTAATGTTTACCTCCTTTGTCAAGCCGTGAAGGGTGCGTACAGCTGCTTTAGCCCCATAGTATTAGGTTGTTCGAAAAGTCCTGCGACACTTTGACCAAATTTTTCGAACTAAATTTCTGGTCAGTAAAGGACATCTCCAATCTACAAGGTAACCGCAGTTGATGACTAGGACTAGTGCCTTTCTTTTGCACAGCTTCTCATTTCCATTCTCATAGAACTACGGCAACTGTGGTAAAAAGAAGAGGTGGACCTCATTCTCGAGTTGAGGTTGATTTTCGGAACTTTTGCTTTTTGAAGGATGCGATAGTGACCAAAGGAGGTGGTAATTAGAGGCTGCTAACTTTGTTAAATAACCTGAGTACGGTCGCATTCTCTGATCGAAATGCATGATCTTTTGGCGTAGCCTGATCCCCACAGCGGTCCTCGCATTACCGAGTAGTAGAGAAAAATTGAGTATTTCTGAATGAATTCAAGCGTGACGTCATCCATATTTTGAAGTCGATTAAGGTGGACTGTGGTCCTTACAACGGTGCTAGTATCCAGTGATACCGCTTTGAAGTCCCACCAATAACACACTGAAATCTTTATCCCATGCACATCTGCTTTTGGCTAAGCAATCTACTTTTCTGTTTGAGAGATCCTGCGAGGGACATGTGCATGATGTACGCAAGGACTCCAACACTCGCTACCAACCACAAGATCTCACAAAAGTTCTTTCGCTGTGTACAAGGAAAAGAAAACTCAGTCACGGTCATTCGGTATGACTTGTCAGACGGGTCCAACTCATGAGGCATCCTTCACAAAAATTTTTTCCGATAACCGAGATTGCGGAGAAGCATGGCAGTTGTCAGTCAGGTGGAGCCTAGAGAGGTTGCCAACTTACCGGTGGTTACGTTCGGCTGCGCCTCAAGAAGCTTGAGTAAAGGGCCGTCATTCTGTGCTGATGGGCGACCTATACATTGCCTAACTACGAGTTAAATAAGTCCAGCCTGAAGCGCTGATGCAAAAGCTACCCTCTGCCATGGCAAGCGATATCCTTCCTCAAGACAACGTAGGTGTCCTTGACTACGGCGGAGTGGCCCTACAGGAACTCATAATAAGGGACAGGTCGAAAAGTACCTCGATTTCTGGGG